AGTTGCCTGACTATAGTGATACTGTTCTGCAGCAGCTCAGTCTGGTCCAAGGCCCAGGCTTAAGCTGAATGACTCTTACCATAGATAGATTTTGAGGATCTTTCAGATAAATCTATTTCTCCTAAAACTTTGTGGTGATTTTGACTGTAATGTGTCAGACAGATAGAGAAGCAGCATGTGTGTGTCCTTCTTCAGCAAACCAAACAGTTTCCTGTCATTGTAAATCCAGAGTCACTCTGTTGACTTCACTGCTGTTGTGATGATTGGTTTAAAGGAAGGCATAATTCTCACCATCGTATTCACTTGCTGTTGCCTTTTTTATGCTCTAGGGAGTTAGGTTTATTTGGTCCTCAAGAGATTAATAATACAATAATATGAACACCATGCTAATTCGTGTGACTGACTAGAAGAGCCACTACAGCTTTCTGAATGTTGCATCCTCAGGTTGAAGCAACCAAACCTGATAATCACTTTGCTCATTTACTGTGACAAGCCATCTTAATGCAAGTTGTTTATGATACCTCACAATATTATGGTAGCTGTCCTGTAGTATACCATGTAGAGCTGATGAAATCTTGGTAATGTGAATTGCCAGAGTACATTGGCATTTCTACATGTGAAACATTTGGAGGGGAGTGGAGCACCACTGTGTCAGACAGTGAGGCTCTTTTGAGAGACTCCTCAACAAAGTATGAGACCCAGGAAAATTTATAGTCCTCGCTCTGGGTGAGTTGTGGCAATGTTGTGTTATTGTGTATCTTTTACACTAATACGTGGGGAAAATCTTAAAAAATCCCAAACAAATAAATTAGGAACTGTGTTCAGACTGTGTGTGCCTTCAAAACCAAAATTGAATGTTGTTGTAAGGCCCACTGGATGATACTGAGGTGCCACTGAAGTGAAGATAAGCTTTTTGGAGATTGTTCTTCATGGAACAGTAGTTAAATGTTGTCATTGCTTACTTTAGAAATGAAATGGGTATTTCCAGGCACATGACTCCAAGCTTTATCAGTCATTTATGTACAACACAGGAGTCTACGGAATGTGGACTAAACTCCTCAAGTCCAGGCTCAGCGTAAGCTTGGCTCAGCAAGAAGTCTGAACTGAACATGTAGATCACAGCACAGTCTTCAGCTCCATTCTGATCCCAATGCTATCAGTGCTAGCTACTTCTAAGGAAGGGTCAGGCAGTGGGAGCAAGCCTGATGATTTTAACCCCAAAATGGCTTTATTGGCATATGAACTCTGAGACGTTCCAGGTCCTTGTTCTCTCTCTCTCTTTACCTAACGGTCGCTCTAGTAACTGCAAGTATGTCAGTCTCTTCTTGGGTGGCGTTGAAGTCCCCATCAGAGTTTTCAAGTGAGCATGTCCAGCCTTGTACCCAATTCCTGTCTGAGCCCTCTAAGCTAGAAGACAAGTATTGCTGTGATATTAAGTACTTAATTAGCAGCAGCTTGTGCACTCTGACTACATCAGGCAGACATGACAGTAGAGATGTATGAAGCACATCACTTGTGTTGACATGGACTCCCTGATCTACCCTGTAGCTGATCTCACATATCTCTGTCTTGTTGTCCAGGTTTTACTGGGATTTGACCATGCTGCTCCTAATGGTAGGAAACCTGATCATTATCCCTGTGGGCATCACTTTCTTCAAGGATGAAAACACTACGCCATGGATTGTCTTCAATGTGGTTTCGGACACATTCTTCCTCATCGACCTCGTCCTCAACTTCCGAACAGGCATTGTGGTGGAGGACAATACAGAGATCATCCTAGACCCACAGAGGATCAAGATGAAGTACCTAAAGAGCTGGTTTGTGGTGGATTTTATCTCCTCCATCCCAGTGGACTATATCTTCCTGATTGTTGAAACCCGCATTGATTCTGAGGTATACAAGACAGCCCGGGCACTGCGCATCGTGCGCTTCACTAAGATCCTCAGCCTCCTACGGCTTCTGCGGCTCTCCCGGCTCATCCGCTATATTCATCAGTGGGAGGAGGTGAGCATAGGCTGTGATGCACTTGCATCCTAAATCTTTTCTCCACTTATGCTGGTATTACACAAAAGTGCTTTCTTTGAATGCCTGTTCTCCTAATTTATCCCGATGTGAATGCTAAAGAACTGTGTCTTGAGTCTGATGTTTTGCTTTTAGCAGGTTCCCAAGAGGGCCTTCAGCATATTGTTACTTAGTCACTTGAGACTCTACTATCTGCTTCACAATGATAATATATATAATCTGTGGAGACGATGTGTGGGCCGGGAGGAGAGTAAATAGAGGTGGACCGACTGCAGGAAGTGTGTAGCTGTAGAGCTGCCTGTGAGGGAAGCAGCCAGACAGCGGGGTCTTGCCCCCTCAGAGCCCCAGAAGGTCCAGAAACAGCTCAGAGGAAGGGTCTAGAAACAGCTGATTTGCAGAACGCGTGGCATTTGTTTACCCAAGCATCTTTTCTTTTACATGCTGATCTCTTGAATAAATGGCTTGGTGATGTATTTATAAGCTTCTTGCTTTCTACATTCTCTGACGCTATGTTAAGGGGAGGAGGAAAGAAGAGCAATCTGCAGACAAATAGGGTCTGTTTAAAGACATAAAGGTCTGGTGAAAAGGAAGAGCCCCACTACCCCTGGACCCTGTGCCGTTCCCAGGGGAGTTGCAGTAGGCAGGGTGAGTTGTCAGCCCTAAAGCGAGTGAAGCCTTACAACCTTACAAGTAGCTTGAAAATGATTTATTTTTTCCTGTCTCTGTGCTCCCCAAAGCAGAGAGAAAGCTCCCTGCAGCTTTCTCCGCATGCCATGAGCGTATTTTCAGGACAAGGAAAGATGGTCAAGGCGATTTCATCTTCCCATACTTTCTCCTCTGCTTTGGAGCAGAACCTGATGTAGAGCATGATCTAATGCAGAGTGTGCTCCTGGGAATGTGAAGGGAAAGCAGCCATACAAGTCCTGGCTAGATTGCACTGAGCTGTCAGAACACTAATTTATGATAGAGCTGAACTGTTTCCTCCTCCCAGCATCATGTACTCAGAGGGAGAGCACTGGTGCATACTTTACAAATTTCAGGCTTCATCTTTGTGGTGTTACAATTTGTGAATGCTTCATTTACAGCAGAGCATAATGCCTTGAAAAAGTTTGGGGTGACATTGTGCAAGGTGCTGTACAGATGTAGAGGGAGTGACAGCTACAGCCCTGAAGAATTCACCAGTAGGCTAACTTGCTTCATAGCACAGGCAGGCAGGAAGTGCATAGAGAGATGGAGATAAATAAAGCGAAAGTGTCTTTCATTGTGTGAGTCAGTAAGAGAAAATGCAGAGCAATGAAATATCTCCAAGTATGTTGCCTTGTCCCTTGGTTGCATTGCTTCCCTGTCCTCTGATCCCAAAACGCTCAGGAAAAGTGAGTTGGTGGCTTAGGCTGCTGTTAAAGCAGCTCCTTCATACAGATTTATATGTAGCCACAGCAGTGGAGAGCTCTGTGCTTGCTTGTGTCTGCTCCTTGGCTTCCTTTGTGTAAGGTGGTTGAAGAGGATTTAAGTATATTTGCTGTTGATTGTACTGAATTTGTTTTAAAAAATAATGAAATTAAAGCAAATCAGCGCCCTTTCCCTGTCTTGCTTCTCATACAGTTTCACTGAGCAGCCATTTCTAGTTTCAGTCTTGTAATACAAATCGATGGGGCATTTTGCCCTTTTGCTGGCTGTCGTGGGTACCAGGGGCCAGCACAGCCAGGCGCTCACTGGATTGCCCCTGAAGAACAGACTCCCTGGAGTGATGCAGTGCTGCAAGTGGAAAGGACAGATGGTGTTGGATTGCAGTTTGAGACTGCAATGCAGACTCTGTTATGCATTGCAGAGCCCAGCAGAGCAAACATGATAGTCTTTTTTCAAACAGGGCTCAGCCCAAGCAGCAGTTTACCAGAGAGAGTATGATACTAGGAGGTTTTCCACCGTCTCGAATGGGAGAGGGAAGCAGAGAGAAGGGGCGATCCCTTGTCATTGGTGCAGTTCATGCTACAAAGCAACAAGGAGAAAAGGGAATAGAAGTGCTTCTTCATCTTTGCATGGGGGTAAATGGTTGTGCTCCCTGGAACCACACTGACCTTTCTTCTTCTTACTCTGAAGTTCCTACAGATGGTCCATCTCTGAAAGTTTGTGTTAATCTTTCCTCTCTGCAGAGATCAGCAGTGATGACCTGGAAGTGTTAATTCCTGTAAGATGGAGCAGTGTTAGACTAGACTTACTCTGGGTGTACACAAGGGCCAGGCTGCTGTGCAGACTGTAAGATAGAGGAGGACTGCTGGGGGAGTGGGCTGCTAAAGAATTCTGTTCCCCTTTGCTCGCCTGCACTACCCCACTCTGTGTCTCGTCTGCGAGGTAGTATCGTTCTCTTATAGGCTTTTTGCATACGACCAGATAAGCTAAAAATATCTTGTGAGTAGGGCATGCTGGTCCACTGGAGAAGGATATGTGTGCGACCTACAGGAATGTGTGTAGGGCAGGTCTGAGGCAGAGTTAATAGAGGTGGATGGACTAGTCAGAGAGAGAACGTGCTGCATTGTGTCTGGATCCCTGCTCACCCGTACCGAGCTTATGCTGTGACTTTTGATGGAGCAATTGCTGCTGCCATGGGAAGCCTAACTCCTTGCTTATAACTCCTGCTGAGACTCGGGGGCCTGCATGAGGAGGAAAGAGGGATCCAGTACACACAGAGATGTTAATCTACTTACTCTGCCTCCTAGATGAACATTACATCTGTGCACTAGCGTAACACAGAGTGAGTACAGGGATAAGTGGTCGCTTCCTGAGTTCACAGTGAGCCTCTCTGTTTCTTCCCCTGCAATTGTCCATGCTCTGCATGTATTTATCACTCACCCTGCAGGGAGGAGAGAGCAGCCTTCTCTAAGGCTGCAATGCTGTAACACAGCCAGCCACTCATCAGTTCCAGATCAATGCTAGTCATGAGTCTGTGGGCTCGAGAGCCGGTGGTTTGAAGTGCCTGCACCGTTCTGGCTCAGCAGCAAACTACACTGACGTCCTCCCCCAGATCTGAAACAAGTGCTTTGGGGACTACAGCTGGGCAAACACCTTAAAGAAAAAAAGAAAAGAAAAAAGAAAAAGAAAAGCAATTTAATGCACTCATGTTCACTGGAGTATGAAAGTAAGCTTAATTCCAAATGTAGCAGTTTCATTTGCATTATCCATTTTGCATGAGTGGTCCAACGAATGAATTTACCAGTAGGGCAGAATATAAATAGAGTCTTTTTGAAGTGTCTGCCGTATCTAGCCTGCAGTAGGAAGCTTGATTGCAATGTAGGAAGGCATACTCGCGCTGGCTTGAGCCTAGCTTGCCTGAATATCGTATTATAAACTTCAGTGTCTGGTAGTTACCAAGTCCATATGCAGAGATCCAGGATGGCTGGCATGGGCTGTGTCTGGAGCTGTACTGCCAGGGTTAGAACAAATATGAGTATTCCAGTCATGCCTTGGTCATACCCAGGGCAAGTCTCATCATCTCAGCCTTTGAACCACTCCAGCAGCTCTGCAGGGTATCTGGGTTGATCTGTGGTTCTTGACCATGTGAATATGGAGGTATGCTGTTGCTCACAGAGTCAGGAGTTGGGCCTTCACACTGTTGGCTCGGAGAAACTGTTCAGAGAAACCAGGCTCTGAATGTTAATGTCCTGCAAACCTTATCCCAAGGTCACCCAGGAGAGAGAATGAAAGCAGAATAATACCATGTAACCCATATACTCAGTCAAAATGAACCAATGCAGTTCAGAATGTTAGACAAAAAAAACTCTTTGGGTTTTCATAGGCAAAAATGATTGAATGTTTGTTTTTTTTTTCTAAGAGCAATTTGCTGAGCTTTCCTATTTTATGTACAGCATCTACCCCTGTGTTTGTTGCCAGGATGCAGTAACCTATAGTTGAGATCAGACTGGTTTGACCTACAAACAAGGCACATTTATTGGGACAACAGTAAAATCCTACTCCTATAAATTGGTTTCCAAATAGCACATGGTTTAAGATAACCAAAATATTTTGATTTCAGATTCTATGTGAGGGATTATGATGGGAATGAAAGATTTTGATATATAAACTAACTGGTTTTGATATATATCACAGTGATAAGATTATCATGAGAGAATTTTGTCAGATTTTTGTCAAAAAAAAAGACAGGTTTCAATTTTTGCAGCTGAAACCTAAAGAAAGGACAATTTGGTGATTTTCAAACTATTACGGCAATGAAAACTTGAAAATTTTCTTAAACGCTGTCCTTTTCTTCCCTTGAGTTTCCATATTACATGGAAGTTTTAGAATGGAGGGAATGTGTCTTCTCAGGTCTGCTGCTGGCCACAGATTACATAATCTGAAAGATGACATCATTTTTAAGACGATTCAGAGATGTTCAGAAAATTGATTTGGAAGGTAGAGGGCCTATTTGAATCACAGAAACGTTGAATCATAGTTTGGAAAAGACCTCTAATTTCATCAAGTCCAGCCATTCACCCAACACCACCATGCCTACTAAACCATATTCCGAAGCGCCACAGCTACATGGTTTTTGAACACCTGCAGGGATGGTGACTCAACCGCCTCTCTGGGCAGCCTGGTCCAATGTCTGACCACTCTTTCAGTACAGAAGTTTTTCCAAATATCCAATCTAAACCTCCCCTGATGCAACTTGAGGCCATTGCCTCTTGTCCTATTGCTAGTTACCTGGGAGAAGAGACCAACACCCGCCTCGCTACAACCTCCTTTCAGGTAGTTGTAGAGAGCTATAAGGTCCCCGCTGAGCCTCCTCTTCTCCAGACTAAACGGCCCCAGCTCCTTCAGGTGCTCCTTGTAAGACGTGTAGAAGGACTAGGAGAGAGCTTCCGAAGACTATGAGAATATGGCTTCCAACTGATTTTCGTTTTGATTTGAACAGCTAATTCCCTTAGTTTCTTCTGACCTATTTGTAGCCTTCCTTAAATTAAATTAAAACAACGTGGCTAGTGGCCTGG